AAGTTCGCCAGTCTATTACATCTCACCCCTAGAATAGAGCAGTCTGAGGGTAAAACGCACTCATTGATGACGAATAAGCCTCAGAGAGGTGGATATCGAGAAGGCTCCATGATGTCTAGTAATGCATATAGATCTAGTGAGTGTAACAGGTTTTGTAGTACATCCTCAACAGATAAGTTGCAAGATGCAAGACAAACACGGTTGTGTTTTACACGTTTGCAAGAGGTGCATACAAAGGTGAGCTGTGAACCAGTGAGCAATTTCAGTGATAAGCTAAATGTAAACTCCTGGCCTGACTCCGAATTGTGTGACGATAATGGTGCGGTGAAGAAGTCTGTAGTTGCAATTAGTAAGCCATTGTTGAATAGTGTCACAGAATAGAGTTACTGCTTCAGAGTGCAGTTCTGACTCCAAAAGTTTACAAGGTACTACTAGTCAGAGTGAAGATATAAAACCTTTAATGATTTTTGAGGAGGAACCAAAATTGTCTACTTCTGTTATTAAAGAGTTTGAAAATGATGAAGTTGACGGTAAAGTGAATATTTGTGATAATGATCATGATAGGGCACATTTCTCTTTGGTTGATCACGATCAGATGAGAGAAATGCCTACTACTGCTAAGTTGAACAAAGGTTCTGTACAACTTGAACGTGAAGTAGAATTAGAGGCAGATGCAGTTGCACAAGGTATGGATACTTGTGAGATCGTCAGTGTAATTGATCAGCATGTAGCCCACCTATCATCAGATGCTTGTACTAAAGCGGAGCTGATAGTAAAAGACAGCAGTGGTGGTAGTCTTGCAGTTAGATAACCTTCTAAAAGCCGAAAAAGAACAGCTTCTGATCCACTGCTAACTTCATCACCTTGTGTCACTCAGTCATCGTTGGTGTTTTCATCCACAATGAAACAGATGCCCATCAACTCAAGCATCTTTTGCAATGACTATGATAGTATTGTTGCGTTTGAAAAGACGAAAGATATTGCTCAGTTTAGTGAGGATAAGCCAAGTGTAAAGGAGAAAGTTATTGTTTAATTGACTTGCATGAATAAAGGCATTTCTAGTTTCAAGTTACTATTTGAATGCTATTATCTTTGGTGTAAATTACCCTGTTTCTACACTTGGTTGATGAGATATGCCGTGTGTTTGTTAGTCATCTATATTCTACGATACAATGACATGGGCCTGTTGCCGTTCAGATTTGAGGATTTAGCTCATAGAAGGAAGACAGCAAATGAACTCTGCGACGATTTTCCAACCTAGAGCGTCAACCTGAGAAGGGGTTGTAGGCGTACTGGTGTAAGTCCTACAGTTCTTCAAAGGGTAGCGCATCAATGAGCAGTCCAATGTGCTTGGTGTGTGATTTTGTACATATGTTCATATTGTATATGCTGAATTGATATCATCTGTCATCTAGCTGTTGGTAATTCTGTTTGTGTCCGGACGACTTCCACTTGGATCATCAACCTGTGAAGGGTTGCAGGCGTACTGGTGTAAGTCCTCCAATTCTTCAAAATAATTCCACCAAGACAAGATCCGCGAGGTTATTTGTACTGTTTGTGTATATGTGTGGTGTGTTTTCGCAATTTGTGATTTTGGATCAGTTGTGTTTACTCGTTGTTTTCGTGCCTTGTTTTTATTGCATAATTTTGTTAAAATTTTCGTCGTGATTATTTCTGAAGTTGTTTCTAGTCTTCTACATCCGTGAATGAATTGATTGATCTTAGAGACAGCAGATGGGTCGTATACGCCGGGGAGGCTAGGCTATTTCTGAGAATGAAATGCACACGGAGATAATTGTTAGCTGCGGTCCGACACGCCGGGGAGAAAGGGTGTAAACGACTGAGGCTTGCATGCGTCACCGCTACTAGAACTGAGGCAGAATGAGTGACAAGCGATTTCAATGGTAATTGGTAGTGAGTAATTAAGATGATGTGCGTAGAGTATCATGAGTTGGTGCTATGGTCACGTTGCATTCTGCAAGAGTCATTCTAGGAAGTGGCGATTGTGTTGCAAGATGTCAAGAGGAGGTCTCTGTCTGGAGGCGCAGGTCGTCATTGATGTGTGAGATTGTGCAGTGGGTATGCTTGTGGTGTGTTGGCTTTTCTGTTTGTTTTCCATTTCAGCTCTGTCCGTGTGACCCAGGTTCTCGCAATGGCATCCAAGTCAACGTGCATTGGTCGTGAAGGAAACAAGGGTTGGATCCCATTTTTGCCGGGGAGTGTCAATGGAGTTGAAGATTGAACGATCAATTCATGGTTGTTTGCTCAAAATCAACTTCCCCAAATTTTCGCGGAGGCATCAATACGACAGTCATCGTCTCATCGGTCGCTGTTCAGAAAGAAGTCAGGAGACAACCGGCAGAAGTAATATTGTGATTTATTATTGTAATATTTGTTCACAGACCTTAGTTGTAACAGTGTTTATATGTTGGTGTTACAATAAAGAATCCACGAGTCGCCAATTGGTGTTTTGGTTTCTGCGTCCATTAGTACTAAGCGTTTCTGAGAAACTTCAAGGAACAGCGTGAGGCCCAGCGTAGCAAGAGCTGGGTATTAACGGTTTATGAGACGTGATTCACAAACAGCAACATCAACCATGTCATGTTTAACATCAGACACATCGTTACAAGTAACAGACAAGTCACCATGACTTACTTTCCTGTTTGCATCCAAGACGCTCTGTCCCTTCTTTGACCCAGGCATTGTTGAACTTGACCCAGTTCCAAAAACGTTTCAGATATTGCTTGTTCAAAGAAGACTTGGCCAGCACCAGGAAGCATGAATGGTGACTATCCAAACCGTCACCAACTGTCCGAAACCGTCGAAAACTGACGCTGTGCCGTCAGAAACTGTCAGCCACGTCTCGTAAACCGTTAATACCCAGCTCTTGCTACGCTGGGCCTCACGCTGTTCCCTGAAGTTTCTCAGAAACGCTTAGTACTAATGGACGCAGAAACCAAAACACCGATTGGCCACTCGAGAATTCTTTATTGTAACACCAACATATAGCCAACTTTAAAATTAAGCTTGAAAACTAAGTTCTGTGAAGAAATATTACAATAATAAATCACAATATCACTTCTGACGGTTGTCTCCTGACTTCTTTCTGAACAGCGACCGATGAGACGATGACTGGTGTATTAATGCCTCCGCGAAAATTGGGGAAGTTGGTTTTGAGCAAACAACCATGAATCGATCGTTCAATCTTCAAGTAATTTGACACCGGGTATGTTACTTGTAAAATTGGGAAATTCGGCTCCAGGAGTTGTTTTGGTTTTGATGACATCATACCATCGTTGCGGAACTTGTTATCAGAAATCTTTGCGTACTTTTAAGTGATCTTTTCAAACACCCCTTTGATGTAGGGAAGCTTCCATGTGAATGGAATCTAGCACTCCTATCCCCTATCTTCAAGGGTGATGACCGGCACAATGCGACCAGTTACAGACCAGTTGCTCTACTTCCAGTGATATGGAAGATATTGGAAAGCCACATTGACGACCACATGAGAATATACTTCGACGGGACTAACTTTCTCCACGAAGCACAGAATGGTTTCAGGAGGGGAAGATCCTGCGTGACAAATCTTCTACTAGCTTGAAACGACACTATCCTGGGATGAAAATGTACCAGCTCACGTGATCTTTCTCGACTTTGCGAAAGCATTCTACACAGTTCACCATGGTCTGCTCCTTCACAAAATAAGCAAGGCGGGTGTTTCTGGAGCACTTCTCGCATGACTGAAAGATCACTTAGGCGAGGGAGAATTCTGCACCAAAGTCAACCGCGTCCGATCATCCCGGCACACTTCGGCATCAGGGGTTCCTCAGGGTTCTATCCTAAGGCCGTTGATGTTTTTGATTTTTATCAACGACCTGCCCTCCCAACTGAACTGCTCTGCGCTTCTTTACGCCGACGACGTAAAGATTTGGAGAGCAATAAACTCATCGGAAGACTCAGATAGAATGCAAACTGACCTGTAAACTCTGGGAGACTGGGATCTGGCTAACGGAATGCATTTCAACTTAAAGAAGTGCAAAGTAGTGCAACTTCGTTCCGGCAGTTCACAGAGTGTAAATTACACCCTTGGTGGCAAGAACTTGAGTTGTGTTCCATCAGAGCGCGATCTAGGTCTTATTCTAACAGAAAATCTAGACACCAGTGGAAATTACGCGAGGGACGTCGCCAAAGCCTACGCAACTTTACATTTTATGAATAGGCAGCTGGGAGCTCTCACTCCCGAACTGTTCTTAAGGTTATATAAGACATTTGTGAGGCCACACCTTGAGGTGCATAATATCATTGCACCTCCGCTACTCAAAAGGGATGCTAACGTTCTAGAAAATGTCCAGAGACGAGCGACAAAATGGGTGATCGGCCTTCGCAACAAATCATACGAGGAACGACTAAAGAAATTAAGTCTTTTCACACTTAGTTACCGCAGGCACAGGGGAGACCTCATCATCGTCTACCAGATCTTAAATGACCGGGCCCACCCAAATAAAAGCATCCTGCCATTAAGTGATTATAAGCTTCCACGAGGTGACCCGCTAAGGATAGCACACCAGAGACCAAAGACTCGGGTGCGATCACATTTCTTTTCGCTTCGAGTTTGCCGTCTCTGGAACGCTTTACCGGCGGCCGTGACTACAGCACCATCTCTGGAGATTCTTAAGCGGAAGCTAGACAATCATGCAGAAATGCAAGGTTTGTATCTCAATGGCTTATCCTCATAAAACTTAAAACCACGCTGTCAACGGATAAGCACACAAACTAAGTCCCCACGACCTGTTCTGTCTTCTCTCACTGTACCGACTACTCTATCTTTTCCTTAGGTCACCTTTATTATTTCACTTATCTCAACCCATATTATCTACACTACTACCTATTATTATTACTATTCTGCTTTTATGACTACACCGAATGACCAACGGGAGTTAGGTTAAACTCCATTCACGGCAGCAACACAGTCCTAACATACTGCATACTACAAACCACATCTTGACCAATCCCCGCACCACTCCTCATGGAGTCTACCAGAGCTAAAGCAGTCGAGTGGCTGGACTTACTACGCAGAAGCTAATCGAAGATCTGGAACCTCTACCTCAAAATCAAGAAGCGAGCTCAAACAAATCACTGGTTTATACTAGCTCGTAATCAGGATATTGGATATTGGATTGGATGCTGGACATACGCGGGTTTTCCAGGAAACTGACCTTGAGTCTAGTTCTACTGTCAGTTTACGTTCGTTGCACCAAGTTTTGTTTTTTGGGTCAATGTAATGTCTGTTCCTCCTCCTCCACCTCCTCCGCAACTCAAGTTCACAAGGCCACCTCCCAAACAGGTTTCTGAGTCTTCTGGCCCAGCATTTTTGGCAGATATTAAAGCTGGAAAAGCACTTAGGAAGGTTCCGGATTCTGAAAAAAGGGATAGAAGTGCGCCATTGGCATCTAAATGTACAGGTAATCAGTGTTATAATGATTTTTCCACACTAGACTTAGTATTATTCGCCCCATCTTAAGATATGAAGTAGCATTCTCACATAACAGACAAATTTAGTGACGTTATAGTTTGTTTTAAGGTTCTCAGTTTTTTGATGTTGACTTCTTTTTCAAGCTGGTCGAAATGTGATTTTACGTTGGTACAGCGCTACTAGCCGTTTTAATTCGGTAAACTAGCTTTTAACTAATGAATGAATTCACCACATCTAAATTCATTCTCAAATTTAAGTAGCACTGTTGAGTGTTTCTAACAACTTTATGCATATTGTACATGAAGCATCGGCGTGTATTCTATTTAAATCCTTAGATTATGTGAAAATGTCTGGCAATTTAGGAGTTGTGTTCTAACCGAAAGCTGCTGCCTTGACGTGGTGGTCGGGCTTGAACACCGCAGTGACCTATTCAACCTATACTGGCTGAGACTTATGTCTCTTGAGGTCCTACCATGCCAGTCAGGTTGTTTGGATAGCGGTCAAACAAAAAGCAGCTACCCAATCTAACATAATGATACATAGAAAACCACAAAATTTCATGCCGGATCGGCCGCACTTCCTGCTGCCGTGTCACAGGGCAGGAGTGATAAATATGCTACTGAGGCACACACAACAACAAAGAACAAACACAAGCAGGCCGCGTGTGACCGGCCCCAAGCAGTTTTCCCCTGGGCTCTGCGGTCACGCAACCAACTTCCACGGTGTGGACAGCCGGGAAGTAACAATCGCCCTCACAGTCCGAAACGCATGCGAAACCTCTCTGTGTTCTGGTGTCTTCACTCTTATATGGCTTTAAGGTTTAACAAGGAGTCTAATTCATTTGAATCTTTACAGGTTTCGCAACACAGATGAGAAAAGTTGGTGCTGTCAAAAACAGAAATAACCTAAATTTCAGATTATTAAGTGTAGTGCTTTTCAAACGTATTTATTCTACGTTGAAACTCAGCCAGTCACTTAGATAGTACACTTATGCTATAACACTTGAATATCAGCAGAGTAGCTTAGAAGAAAAGTCTTTCAATGAAGTGTCACTCTTTTCAGCGATATCATTCTCAAGCTTTGTAGTCTCATATATATGGTAAATTTTCTTAGAAACGAAAGAAATATTTTCAAAAATATATCAGTTGTAAACGTGGAAATATTCCTTTAGTTTCCAAGGTAATCTACTACATATATGCGACCGTACAGCTTGAGAATGATACCGCTGAAAAGAACAACTCTACACGGAACGTTTTTTCTTTTATGTGACTCGATTGGGGATTTTAAAGTGATATAAATTCACATCCCTTTAACACTGTTAATACACTACCACTGGTGATGATATACGATCAAAACCGTTTGTCCAGCATTCTAGTACATTTAACATTATATTTGTTCAAAATAATCACCACACTAGAACAGAAACGAACCACAAATGTAAAGTGTTAAGATAGCGCAACTGAAGAGCTAATGAAACGTGTTATGTCGCCGGTTAATTTGAAGATTTATAAATCTTAGACGACTAAAAGTTCCGAAAGACAGCAGGCTACTGCCAGCGATTAAATTTTGAAACTAAATCTTTGTACGAGATTACAGAACAGTGATTGTGACATGGCATTCTTCAAGCTGTCGTATTTGGTTATGAACGTCTCACCAGGTTTTGTGACCTGGGTGTTCAGAATAAAGTACGCTTCCTTGAGAGATATAGTTTAATTCCTTGTGTATCTAAGAGTAAGTGGTGGGTTATTGTGGTTCAGAGTCGTTCACAATGACGTAAACGTATTCACTATTAATTATCCAATTGAAAAAATTCACTGATTTCACTTTATTCATTGTCTCACACTTATTTTTTACTCATTTTACCATCATCCTGTTTATGTGATAATTTTTTAAAATATGGTTATTCATAGTGTAACAGCCTAAACTGGTGTTTTCCTGTATACAGGGTTCTTACATGGAACTGTCCGTATATGTTTTACCATAATGATTGACTGACTAACAACTCGGGACTTTTAAAAAAGGCACGCATACACACTTCTATAGAAAACAAAAGTAGAGAAAAGAAATGTAATAGAAGCTAACAAATATAAGCCAGCAAAGATCCACGGGATCGATTTTCAGAATCTGGGTGATGACAAAGAGTGAGCACGTCTCATGGATTTTTTAGCCAGTCTTTACTTGCCTGCTCTCAGCATATCTACAGTGTAATTGAATAGGAATGGCGACAAGGAGTGTTCCTAATGCACAATACTGATTTTTGTCACTTCAAACGACAACTCTCTGTAAGCTCTTACATGGCTGCATAAGTTCATCTAGACTGAGTTGATAAACATCAGGCATTTTCCTGATACTTCATGATAAAAAATTGCCACAATATGTTTATTAATGAAAGTAAATGTTGCCTTCAGGTTAAGAAATATGACAAGTACTTATATTCCAGAATCTGTCGTAATGCACAGATCTCTAATCGATAAATTCTCATCTATGTCTAAAAGTTACTTGGCTTTAACCAGTTTATTTATCTAGTAGGACTGTGAACCGTAGTACCTGAGATATTGTATTAGTTAGGTTTGTTTCCTTATACAGTGGCTTAAATCTAGTTGTATTCATGTACTCTTTTACGCAACCTAGGTCGATTTTAGCCTCAACTCTGTCTATTCCAGTTGGTTTGGTTATTCGTGTAGTATTGTTTCATTTTAACATTATCACTCATTGTCGAAACTCCGTCGTAGTACAAATTAGATAGTTAGTCATTACTTGCAAGCTAAGCTAAGCATAAATAAATTTGTACAGCTTTCAAAAATTGAGCCGTCTCAGTAAGGAGTTTTTTTTCTTCAAGAGGTTTCTTTGATATTCTAATGAAACCATTCATTCTTTTATATTTGAATTTATTGACTGTATTGACAGAACAACTTTAAACATTGATAATCTGAATGAGTCGTGGTGTAAAGTATCGGACTCTTGTATAAACGTCTACTACACCATAACACTACAAAAATTGTCTTTGGAATTTAGATCGCTGTAGTGTGTGTGTGTAATTTATATAATATTTTTGTGCTTATATCTCTTAATATCGTAGTGCTATATATCTGCTTTATGAATTCTATTCAAGATCGTAACGATGCAGGAAGTGGTTCAGGTACAGTGTCGTCTATATCTGGTGGAGTTTGTCCACCACCAATGGGTCTTCCAAATCCTTTTGCAAATGGAGCACCAAAATTAAGACCAGTTGGCTCTGTAGATGTTTCACGTAATAATACAGTTCAGAATTCAGTGACAAGACAACCTGTAGGTGGATATGCAAAAAATCCTGCACCACCGCCACCACCGCCAACCGCACCTCCACTGCCACAGTCTTCCCCACCACCATCTCCGCCTCCAGCATCATTTGTATTTCCGAACACAATTTCTTCAGATATACCGTCAACAACACCTTATACAGTGTATCAACAACGTCCTAATCCAGTGTCCAATGGGATTTCAGTAAGCAAACTTCTTTCTTTTTTGTACATTTTACTTAATGAGTAAAATTAGTTAACTGGTGATTTACCTTAGCGTATAAGTGTATGCTTAACGTTGTTTTATATAAGGCTCACGTATTTACTGTAGTTTTACTGCACATTTTAGTAGTGTGCCTAACTAGCACTTTGTAAATATAACCAACTGTGGTTTTTTTAACTAGTAAATGATTGTCGATTTGCATTAAAAAAAACTAGTACTTTTGCTCTGTTCATTATATTGATTATTCTAAGATTCGCAGTAGATTTATCGGAAACCTAATATTATTACTATTATATCCTTTAATTCCTAGAAGAACATAGGGCTTCAGCCGCGCGTCTCCATCGGGAACTTGGAATATACATATTAAAGTTATTAGTTCCCTGTAATGTTTCGTTTTCACATGAACGTAATATCATTTCAGTCCGCTTATTTTGCTGTTTACTTAAAAATTGATCTTAAACTTGAAATCATTGAGTCCCAGGAATTCTCATGGAACAAGATATTTGATGATTTTTACGCTTGAGTGTAATGTTGACATTTATTAGTAGTTAGTTCTATAAGTGTTCTATCTTTATGTTGAATGTTATGTACTCGTCGAGTAGTTAATAATCCTTACGCGGAAAGAGAGAAATCAGAAGATCACCAGGTTTACGACGATACTTGTATTTTCCAGACAAGGAAAATAAATGTCACACAAGAGTGTGAGTGAAATGGTACATAGTGTACGACACGTGGGAACAAGAATATATAAAAGTGTACAGAGCAAGAGTATATATGAAAATGACCAATATACATGAACCAATAGATAGACAGTCTTAACATGATTGGTTGTAATGTCATGTGACAACAAGGTCATACATTGTTTATTTAGTTAGTGGACAGACGAAAGCATATTGTCAATCATAATGAAATATCGATCCATATACACATAGCAAAATATAACAGACTGTCAAAAACAAAACACACATCATGTGGATACATATCATTAAACTCATTCATACCTTCATTAAGAAGCTGTAACATCAATTAAAACTATCTATAGACGTACTTTTTCAGTCGCCTTCATTCCTCTACAATCTGAGGAGAACATAGAGCTTCATGCTTTAGAGTTTCAGTGTCAGTGTTGTGTGTTTTTATGCGATTACGACACTAGCTTCATATCTAACCAGTTCACTTTTCCAGGCTATTACACTAGGAGAGGTTTAGGGGTGCATTTGCTGGAATATTGAACCCCAGATCTGTCTGTTTGTCTGTTTTCGACATAGAACCTTGCACCGATGTGCAGCACTTCAAGTCGACACTCTCCCTCCATGTACCACACAAAGAAAGAGAAGAAAGTAAAACAGAAATGCATAATAGAGACAGTAAACAGAGGTGTGGCACAAAGGAATAGTACTAACGAAGAACAGTATAGTTTCATTTGAAATCATGAGTCACAAGGAGTGGATGCATCTGCGCTAGCCAGTGGGAACGATTTTGAGCCATATCACCAGAACCCCATACCACGTGTGTGTGGTTAGCCAGTATTCTATCATTGAACCATACTCACACATCAGTCCTGCATGAGACTTTGTTTACATTTTATTGTATTCCTTTGAGTTCTGAGCGGAGCATAGGGTTTCAAGCTTCAGCTTGGAAATTTCAGTAGTAATGGTTTGATCCAGCCTTCCTTCTTTGATGGACTTACCACTAGCTAAGCGAGGTGTAGGATTCCATTGGCCAGCGGGGTCGAACCCCAGACCACATAAATGGTGTACCACTGCTGTACCACTGACACTTTTTATGAGACTACTACTAGTTGGAGAGCATATCATCTATTCTCAAGTATGGAAATAATGTCATTCATTGATCCTTGCAAAACTCTGTTTTTCTTTAGTTAAGAAAAGAGTTAACTGTTCCTGCTTACAAATTGTTGTTGAACATTAAATATCTTTATTAGTGTTAAACTGAGTGCAGATGAAATTCTCCTTCGAGATGAATATACAAAGCAGTATAAGAAAATTTCATTTTGTTTTCGATATCTGTACATTGTAGACTAGTTTTTTAATGGTTGGTTGTTTAGGCTTTTGTGTAGTTCAAGATTAAAAAGAATGTAGTAATTGAAGGCATCGACTGACTGACTGATTTCGACATAGAACTTTACATAGAAGTGCAGCTATTTCGAATTGTCAAAAGCAGAGTAAAGAAGAGATTCAAAAGAATGACAATCAGCGAAAATGTGATGGAGAAACAAATAGTAATATGGAAAGGCAATACGGTTTCAATGGATATGATAGATCACATAGAAAGAGATTGGATGCATCTGTTCCATTTGATAATGGTTTTGAGTCATATTACCAATTGTCTTCAGTCATTCGCTCTTAGAATCCTGAAAACCCTAAGCAGACTGAATGTCTGCACCTCTCCGTGGGGCTCAGATTAACTGTTAATTCATTTAGTGATTGCATGTTTCGGTTTGACCAATACTGGCTCTTTTCCAACGTAACTCTATGTCAGCTAACACTAGTCATTGAGGATTTTGTTGGCTAGGCATATATAACACATGTGCAAACCACCTCAGTCGTCTGTGGCACAGTGGTTAGGACTCTCGCCGACCATGCATATGGTCCGGTGTTCGATGCCCTGCCGATGCACACCTGATATCGATGGTCGGTCTTCAAAATTTGGGCTACCTATATCACATGCTGAAAATTCCATACTTGTACCAAAAATACTGTGTGGTTTCAAGCTATGATCAGAAAAATAAAATAAAAATGTAGCTTGACAACCTCATCGATAGATTTTTCCTCCTTACCTAGCACTCAACGCCTAAGATCAATATTACTCACCACATTAGACCATCTAAAATGGGGGATAGAACACAGGCACATAGAAATCTCATGTCTTTCACTTTCAGTGACTATACTTCACAACCATAAAGAAGGACAAAGCGAACTGCTGAGCAGCAACCATTTTCTTTGATCGATAGGCGCGTACCACCTGTACACCAGCGGTGCCACATGAGCCTTTTGCACTCGTGCTGAGATTTTGTCAGCGATCAGCTCGTTCGGGTAGATGCAGTTTCTGAAATAAGTGTAATTGTCAACATACCCTACCACTTCATTCATTATCCTTATGCTAAGAGTCTATGTAGTCCAGTCTTGTAGCATCATTTCGCATTTCACAGGACCGAATAGGATGCCAAACATTCAAAAAGATTGCTTATAACATGAAGGTGGTCATAGTTTCGATCCCTGATGGGGGTGTGTGGTGGGTGCGTATTGTAGAAGAATTCTAAACAGTAGAAGACAGCAACAGTAACGTAATCAATAAGGGTTTTTGTGGAAGGGACATGCAGTAAACGGCAAGTATATCTCTTTATCTAACATCACACTGTATGCTCATTTAAGATTTATCTAAATTCTAATCATATTGAATTAAATAGGGGGAGCAAGTGATCACTTCATATCTGTCAATCAAAGATTATTAGGTAATTTCACCGACTGACAGTTACCTACTACTTATTTGCATTAAGATTCAATCGAAGCCTCTGTGATTGCCATAAATTGAAGACCTCATTATTTGTTGGATCTCAAAGTTTATTCAGGAGAGTATAGGGTTAGTAATCTGGAGGCTTCTGGTTCCACGCCCCTTCCGCAATTCACTTTTTGATTTCAAATGGAATTGTCATCCGTTGCATCAATATCGACCCGCCAATCCGAGATTATCTCAGTCTATTGAAGTTGATGATTTCTTAGCGGGTTGGTTGGTTGCAATTAGCAGGAAGTCCTAGGCTTAGGTTTCATGCTCATTGACACTCATCACTATGGAGGATGTGAGGGGTCAAGAGAACTCATGCCCCTCCACACAGCCAGACTTTTGTCATTCAGTGCTGCAGTATAAAGGGTGGAAAGTCTCAAGTATAGGCTTTTTTATGCATATGGTCAAAATGAGGTAAAGCGCATGAAATAAAATGGGATATCATAAGAAATTCTTCGAGAACATGGAACAAGGTGGGTGAAAACGTGTGAAAAAGTGTGTGTGCGTGTGTTGGGGGGGTGGTGGAATAATTTCCTTGAAAACTTGGGGGTAAATGAAAAATGTAACAACAATGGGTTATTTTGATTGGACAGTAGTAACTAGTGTGATGTGTCTAGTCCTATCTTTGGTGCACACTGAATTCTATCAGTCAGGTTTGTAATATGGCCACCATTCTAGGTAGCTCGCCATCACGGTGCACGTTGATTTGATGATATTAGATGGTTGGAGGCAATCGATAGGAAGCCTTGGACCTAGGTTTCGTGCTAGCTGGGACTCATCAGCAAGGCGTATCTGCAACCTTGAAGGAACTCATATCCCTTCTGGGATTTGAACCCGCGCCAGCCAGTGCTGCAGTCAGAGACGTTACCATTGAGCTATTCGGGATGATAAGTTGGGCGTTGCTTCTAGAGTGATGTTGAGGAGATTGTGTGAGAAGGGGGGGAAGCTTATGGGTAATCTGGGGGCCTAGATGAAGAGGACTAAGGAGAACAAGACAAAATGGAGACGTTCCAGTGGGGACCGAAAAGAATAATAACAAAATAACAATAATAGTCATGGGAAAACTCATTTCCTTCACGAGATGTTTTAACGTGCTTCACTGAAGATTAGAGTGAAAGATAGCGACAAAAACTGACCTTACACGATTGTTTCTAGCGTGATGTAGCCACACATAAGAACTGCTCAGATGAATTAAGTCTTTCATTATCGAAAGCTTAAGATTTCTAAAAAAACTAACACTGGATTCCTTACGTAGAACGGGGTTCAGGGTGATCAAGAATACTCTGATTCCTGGTGGAGGCTTACTATTTCACCTCGCGGTAGGTGGTTTAAAACTCACGACAGACCCTAATGGGGGAGGGTAGACCTGGGCGTATTGTAGCTTTTGTCAGTGGGGAGGCCTCACGGTCTTCTATCTAAAATACTACTGGATTCTACTGCTAGTCACTATCCATCTTACTGCTTCAAGTGAATCCTTAAACATTCTCAAAAAATCCCCACCAGGAGAAAACCTGTCAGCGAAAACTGACATAGGGTCAGGCTGGAAAGGGGCTAGCGGCGGTCGAACCAAAACATGGCTTCATCAGTCAATGAAATCCACAACAGTTAGTTTAAGTCAGCTATGTAGGAAGGTGTAGACTGGTTGGGGTCCTCGGGACGGTAAAAACCAATGGAAGCTGGAAACAATTGGTGATATGGTTCAAAATCGTTCCCACTGGCTAGCGCAGATGCATCCACTCCTTGTGACTCATGATTTCAAATGAAACTATACTGTTCTTCGTTAGTACTATTCCTTTGTGCCACACCTCTGTTTACTGTCTCTATTATGCATTTCTGTTTTACTTTCTTCTCTTTCTTTGTGTGGTACATGGAGGGAGAGTGTCGACTTGAAGTGCTGCACATCGGTGCAAGGTTCTATGTTGAAAACAGACCATATCATACTCGAGGTGACACTCAGCGCTTCGTTTCTTATTGACGTTCCACTTTAGAGTCTGTCTGGCGAGTGATGCTACCCAATGGTCTTCTTAGTGTGTTTCCAATCCATCTCCACTTTCGAAATATTTGTTGGCTGGACAATAGGTTCTCGGTCGCTTCGTTCCCAGAGTTTCTTGTTGCTAATTCTGTCTGGCTAACCATCTGATCTTCGGTATGGAGCCAGAAAAGGCGGCAGCTGTTGTTAAAAGTTTGCAGCTGGCTGCTGAAAATGTTTTTTTGTTGTTGTCGGGCTCACACCAAGTTTCTGACTCACATAGAAGAATTGGTTGACTTAACATTGGTGTTAAAAATCCTAAGTTTTTCTTTTGTATGGAGTGCAACAGATTCCGAAACTCATTTCAGAGTGATGAAGGTCTGTGTTACTTTTCCGATTGTGCTTTTGTCATCCTCATCCGTGCCGATTGTCTGTAGTTGAAACAAAACTGCCTAGATAAGTAAAAGGAGTGACCTCTTTGAAATTTATTCCGTCGATAGTGACTGATACTTGTTGTTGTTGGTTGTTCTTATCACCTCCGTCTTCTGTGTGTTTATTTGAAGTCCTATCTTTGTTGCTTGCCTCTTCTGCTAAATTATTGATTTCCGCGTGTAAGTCTTCAGGCTTATGTGAGATGAGATATAAATCGTCTGTGACGGCCGCTAGCTCTTTTTCAGCCTGACCCTATGTCAGCTAACATTGCCCGTCGAAGAAGGCGGTGACCAGGCATACGTAACACATATCCTAATCATCTCAATCGGTATAATTTCGCAGTCTCATCGATTGATTTTCCCTCCTTACCTAGAACTCGACGCCTAACGTCAATATTGCTCACCTTAATATACCATTTCACTCGGGTTATAGAATGCAGGTGCCTATGATCAAAAACAACTAGCCAGCCTTTTCATGTCATCGACACTGAATGTCAAGGTCTCACAACCATAAAGGAGGACGGAGCGGGATGAATACTGAGTAGTACACCCGCCTTTTGATCGATAGCCAGCTGGATATCACGTCTACTCCAGAGACGGCGTAAACTGGCCTATGCGAAACTAGCCCTCTGTATCCATACTGAGATTTCGTCAGAGATCAATCAGTTGGGCCTGATTGTACTTCCCAAATAGGTGAGGCGGTCAACGTACTCTACCACTTCACTCCCTATTTGTAAACTAAGATTCAGTGTAGTCCAATCCTGTAACATCATCTTACATTTGGCGGGAGCGAATGGCATGCCAAACGCTTTGAATGGAATATATGGCTTCAAATTTGAGGTTTATATACAGTTTCAGTAACAGTGGAGTTATTGTGTTTAAAGGGAGGAATAGTCTAGCCTCAGGTCTCTGAACCTGCTCTCTTTTGTAGGTTGGGCTTTAGGGCATATAGGCTAGGAATAGATCCTCAGCAGCCATATGATGTGTAGTTAGGGAGAATAATACCCGCCTGCCCCATCCTTCTAAACTATCGACACACTATTGAGTGAATGCATAAATACACTACTACATCTAACTCTATTTTACTGCACACTAGGTGATATTTCTGCCCTTTTTATCTTTTCCACTTTGCCTAATTGTACCCACAGTAGTTGTTTTTTAATTATGTAGTGTCATCATCATCACCATCGAAATCAGCTTGTCCTTAGTTGTTGCTGCTGTTGTTTTCTAATTAAAAATAAAAAAAAATCAATATGTATACAATATAATTTATCTACTTCTATGAAGGCTATTCGTAATGGACCCTCACAACCACAACCACAAGCACCACCTCCAACACCTGCTAGACCATCATTTTCTTCTAAAACATCAGCTGATCATAACTATCCTAGGTCAAATTTTTACAGAAGACTATCTACAGATTGTTTTAATCAGGCGAGTACAAATATTATGCCAAACAGTTCAGTACAGACTATCACATCACATTCATCATCAATACCGATATCACCTCCAGTAACAATAATGAATGATAGCAATACTAATACCACTAATAACAACAACAACAACAACAATATAATGATGAGTTATACTGTTAGTGGTAATGTTACTAGTGGGTATACTGCTGTTGTATCTCCATCCCCACCTCCACCACCACCGCCACCACCACCTCCTCCTTCTGGACGTTCTCCACGACGAAAACAGAGTAATTCGAATCGTTATCAGGTAAGTGATGAATGCTATGTGCGTGCGTTTCTTTCTTTCTCGTTACATATTTATTTGATTGCATGGAGGATTTCATCATGAGCTGACATCAGTTAGAGAAGCACTGGAAAAGCAGCTGGGAGTACTGGACAGCTGTTCCTTCCTAGTTTGGGACTCTTCAGCATATTTATTTTTTAGTGAACTGAGGACCGCAGTGGTGTTTTCGCGAATAGAGTATAACAGCAAACGGTACGACAGGATATCCTAATGGCGTTAAAAGTCGACAGAATGTATATATGCATAAAACTTGGGCGCATTGTGAGTAGTATTTAATTCCATATTAATTTGTTTATTGGGTATAACATATATACACGCACAAGTACACGAGCATACAGTGAAACACTTTTATTTACTGAATGATAAAGTTTCAAACACAATTCATTATTGTTCATAATCATACCTTTAATTATAACTACGCAATTTTGAAATGTGAGTTCTATCGTTCTGTTTATTCCTTACGCTTCTTCGTGAGGAGAGTAACACTTTTCAAACATCCGCCTAGACAGGTGCTGAATCAATCCTGTTAAACGTATTTATGGTTGATGCGATAAATAAACCTTCCATTATGATGTTCGGAAATACGATGATGAACCTGCCTAATTGTACGCCCGACGCAGCTGGCTCCGCATCTGCAATCAAACTGGTAGAAACACATAGAGGAGGCAAATTTAGGTGGTTTATTCTTATTTCTTGAACGTAAAATAGGAGTGGTTGTGAAGAGACAACCTACCTCTGCTCTATAATAAGCTCTTTTCACTGCATTCTTCAGTCGTTGTGTTATTATTTCGCTGATGTTGTCACCGTGGAACTGAAGTTTTATGAACAGTGGTTTTTTCGGAACTGTTGCCATAGTGACTGTCCTAGGTGATGAATTCATATTTTTCTCAATAAACTTATCTGGATAACCATTTTTTCTAAGCAATTCTCTAATAATCTTAAGCTCCTCATTGAAGCAGTCGTCTGAACAGATTAACCCAGCTCTATGAGCCAGACACTTCACGAGGTTACGTTTATATTTCAAAGGTACAAAACTCAAAAAATGAGTGTACTGATCTGTTGTTGTAGGCTTCCTATACATACTTCTTCTTAGTGTGCCATCTTCTCTCCTTACCATGAAGACGTCTAGGAATGAGATACTGTCATTACTTTCTTTCTCTATGGTAAAGTTTATCGCTGAATGTGCATCATTAAACTTGTCAAGGATGTTCATTGCATCATTCTCATCTTTCATAACCACAAATGTATCATCCATATATCTACAGTAGAAATCCAAGTCATTAATTACTTCTTTCAGTGGTCCATTCTCTAATTTAGCGAGGAAAAAATCAGCTAGGATTGGACCTAATGGGGAACCCATAGCTACACCATCAATTTGTCTGTAATATTCCTTATTGAATAAGAAGTGAACATTCATTGTACATCTTAAAATAAGTTCCTTCAAGGTGGATACAGAAATCCAAATGTCTATGTTTCGTGTAGTAATCTCCTCACATGTAAAATCCACTGTCTCCATTAACGGTACATTGGTGAACAAGGAGGATACATCAAAAGATATCATAAACTTGTCCCTCACATTAAGATCTCTTATTTTTCCAACAAATTCAAAACTACTGTTTACGTATTGTTTTACCGATTCATTATGCAGAGGTTTCAGGATCTTCACTAACCATTTTGCTGTGGCATGATATGGGGAATTACACATGTCTAACACTGGTCGAAGTGGCACACCAATTTTGTGCACTTTTGCTAGTCCATATAATCTTGGTTTCACCGTGCCAGTAGGCTTTAGGGATTCATATAAACCTTCTCTGATGCTACTTTGTTGTTTAAGTCTTTTTAGTGACTCAATTAGTTGTTTCTCCACTTTTTCTCTCGGAACAGTGGATGATGTAATTTTTTGAAATTTTCGGTGATCACTAAGTATTTCATTCATCTTATTCATGTATTCTATTTTATTCATTATTACTGTTCCAGAGCCTTTATCAGGTTTTTTAATTAATAAGGCCAAACCTTTGTGTTCAGAAGAAATTTGTACAGCCACTTTCCTTACCTTGGTCATCGTTACATGAATGTATAAACCGGATTACTTCGCCCCCTCCCCTAAACTTTTAAAAATTATTAAAATTACAATTGTCCAAATTGTTTTATTATTTTTTCCGACTACTTCATCTTTAATTACATGTTTTCCTTGTAAAATTATTTTATTTCTATGACCACTTCATCTTTAGTTACAAGTTATCATTGTTCAAATCGTTTTATTTTCTTTAACAATCTGTTACGTAATCAACCTGTGCACACGCTTATTCCTTAATTACCCTTCATTTTTCCAAAATTATGCATTATGCAATCCACTTGTTGTAACCATTTCTACCTCTCTGATTGTGTGTATTGATTTTCTTCGTTAATTATCACCCCGCTGACTTGTTGACACTGACTAATTATTGTTAAAAAACATATCAGTGCCACTTGTTTGGTAAATTGTTGTGTATTGTAATAAAAATGCTAGAGCCAGAGATGAGAGTCTAATTGAAAAGTTAGAGAATCGTTGGAAACTGTTTCGTCCTCGACCGGGACTCTTTAGCAGCTCGACCACTAGCCAATGTCATCGGCGAGTGTTTATCCTCACACCTGACATGGTGGACCCCACTGGTCACAACTTCTCAGGAATTGGTATAATTTGCAGCTTGTGGGTCATTGAACTCGGGGTCCCATTGAGTGAATGGTATATTAGCATTAATTGTAATCAGCAGGTCCTGGGTTGCGAATCCTGAGGGGGGGGGGGTGGTGGTTAAGTACTGCGAAAGTGCCCTAAACCAGGACGAAATAGCTGTCTAGTACTTCCTTCTGGTCTCTGATGTTTCGCTAACCGATGTCAGGTGGTGATCGAACTTCAAACTTTGACCTATGCATTTGACACGACCATCATTGTATAGGGTATTGCATAAACTAACTTGTTTTGTCTAATAGGCTCCACAGGATCCTTTAACCGACATAGTCAGTCTCTAGGTGAGTATGTGGGTTTGAATGCTACTTTTATCCATGCCTTAATAGGAATTCTACGTAAGGTTTCAGAGGTTCTCTGTTCGTATGGAAGAATTACTGATTAAAACTTCCTATTGTTGTTTGTTATGCATGTGGTTCTTATTGTTATCATCGAATCTACTTCTACAATTTTCAAAATATTTTTTGATTAATTTATCGGGGCATTGAGTAAGCTTCCTGCCTTAGATTTTCCTAGACACTATTTAGTTTTTTTTCTGTTCTATTAATTAAGTACTTCACCAGTCCTTTTCTCACTGACATGGGTTGGGATGAACCGAAATCCGAATAGAACAGAGGCGGTCAAGTAGTTGGTGTTGTGCATCGACTTGTGTGACTTTCAAGGGGTAGTTTGTAGGTATATGATTTGTTTTAAGACTAATCACGGATTGATATCAGTTAGGGAAATATTGAAAACCACCAGAGAGTACTACTAAACAGCTGTTTCGTCAGCCTAGTTTGGGACTCATCATCAGTACGCATCCACCAGGTTTCGAACCCAGAACCTTCTGGTTAAAAGTCAAGCCCCTTAGACCGTTCAGCCACTGGAACCCTACTCAATATCCAGCCCATGAATTCTAACTTCTACTAATTCGTGATTTTAACGCGACTGACACCATCCAATGCCATCCGTGGCGAGTATTTGCCCTTTCTCCCGACCTGGTGGTGAACCTCGCTGGTATTGCATATTGAAACGAATACTGTGAACACTTCACACGTTACATTTAGCTGTTTGATTTTGATAATGTTTTGGTACCAGTGGTTCACGCCACTGGGATGACTGTTGTGTTATTTGCTACTATACTACTATTATTCCCTTGGGTTCCGAGTGGAACATAGGGCTTCAGCAACACATTTCCACTTTTTTCTATTTTCTGCCGTCCTCTTCATCTGGATCCACGATTGACCATAATTTCGCATCTCCTCTTCGCACTATTTCTTCCATACCACCGTCGTACTGAAGACCCACTCATCGCTTCCCATTAAGATTCCACTCGAGCGATGGCCTGGCACGCGATGTCACTCGACGGCCACCTCAACGTATGCCCTATCCATCTCCATTTCCTCCTATTTATTTGTTGAGTGATCTGCTCTTGGTTAGTTTGTTCGCAGCCAGAGTTTCTTGTTGCTAGTTCTTTCTGGCCGGCTATTTGATCTTCAGTATGAAGCCAGCGAAGTGGGCAGCTGTTGATGAAAGTCTGCTACAGGCTGTTGGAAATTCTTTCCGTGACACACATTGCAAGTTTCTGACCCATATAGAAGAACTGACCGACTCCACATTTGTGTTGAAAATCCGAACCTTGTTGTTTATCCTGGTTGGCTAAGTGAAGCACTAGATTTACAAACTGGTTTCAGCTTGATAAAGGCGTATCTTGCCTTTCCGATCCTCTCTGGCTTGCTCTGGCATCTTCATGCGTTCCGAGTGCCTGTAGTTGTGTAACGGTAGAAGACAAGGGTCAGGCAACAGATCGTTTATCAAGGAAATCAACAGATATTTATAGATTTTCATGCACATTATTATAGATTATTGTAAGCATACAAACACGGTATTCTGATTGGTGGTTTCTCGTTGAGCATTAATCTTTCATCTTTTTGTGGCCGTTTCTTGAAGTTCAGAATATCTATCTGCAAATTGTATCCGCCTACGCAAAGTCTGCTGTGATTGGTTGTCGAGTCAGTCTTTGTTCTTATTTTTCTCATGACCAATATTGGGGACGTAAACATTGACGTAGTGCGTCGGTGGCATAGCAGTTAGGACGCTCGCCGACCATGCACATGGTCCGGTGTTCGATCTGCGGCCACAGACTCACTCCTTTACCTCGTTAAGCCAGAAATAATGCTGGTAAAGAGGAAAGGCTGGGGATGGGGCTAGCAACCCAATCCTGTAAAATAAACACTGCTACAGAAACTTCAAGCCACTGGCTTGAAGCTCCATGTTCCACTGGGGAACGTGAAGGAAAAAAAACATTGACGTGAATTACTTTCTACCAATTTTGGCTAGCAACTAGCTCTCACCACATTTGAAACGATGCCTCCTAGATAAGTGAAGGAGGTAACCTCTACCGAATTCCTCTCGTTGATGGTGCTGGTTCTTATTTTTGCTGTTGGTTGGTTTCTTATTCTCATCGCCTTCATCTTCTCTGTGTTCACTTGGAGTCCTGTCTTCTGTGACTGCTACTTCAGCTGTTTGCTGTAACTATGTACGTAAATACCCTGCATTTACTTTTATTTACCCGTTGATCCAGTTCACATATACGTCGTGTTTTTTGTATTGTGTTGAAGTACTTTTCACACTGTGTAACACAAATTTAGTTAGCACTTTTAGTGGTGTGTTTGTGTGTATATTCGTTTGTCTTATACTTCATCTGGTGATATGTGTAATCAAAGTGTGCTTTTTGTGTTTATCCCATAATCAAATAACAATTATTTGATAAGTCTTTGTTGAAGTTTCCTCCTACTTGTTTTTTTCTCTCTTATCATCTCATCTATGTTTATAAAGCGAGTTGGTTCAACCAATACCGATATGAATGGCATACCTGTTGGCCAATCAACTAAAGTAATACGTATCTCGTCATCTGGTAACAGTTTGAACGGGAACGGGAATTACAATGGAGAGGCGATATCGTCAACAACAACAACTCCGTTGTTACCATCCTGTGTATATGATTTGAATGTGCCGCCGCCGCCACCACCACCACCACCGACGACAACGACGACAACAATGATGAATTCACGTGCTCATCCGACACCACCGCCACCACCTTCTATTGGAAATGATTATTTAAACAGTAATGGCGGTAATAATACCAACAACAATATAGCCAGTCTTGTACGTCAATTTGAAGCTCGTTTCACATTTCTTGATATTGGAAATATTCCTGTACCTAAGGCTTATCATGGTCCTAAAACATATCGAAGTACTGCAAGCATAAATCATAATATTAATAATAATGATGGGCATCGTACTCAAGGTAAGAAGTCTTACTTATATATTTTTCTTGAAGTGAATTATTATACATTTTTATCTAATATCTGTTGAAATATTCCCATTAAGATAGGATGTATTTTCAGTATGCTTATGTTAGAATTAACAATGGGGTTAGACAGGGTTGCTCAATTTCTCCATTTCTCTTTAACTTTGCCATCGATGACATTCTGGAGTTAGCTCTGAAGGATGTGCGTGAAGGTGGTGTAGGTCTGCTACCTGGAGAGAGACTTTTCGACCTCGAGTATGCAGGTGATATCGTTTTACTGTGCGATAGCATGGAGGCTGCCCAAATCGCACTTGATCAGTTGACGATCAATGTCTGTGAGTATGGTATGTACTTTGCACCGTCTAAGTGCAAAGTACTGTTACAAGATTGACAGGAGACTGTACCTGCACTCACTCTTGCTTGCAGGTGAACCGCTTGAAGTTGTTGATAAGTTTGTGTAGTTGTGTGAGTGCTGGCGGAGAGTTGACGGATGAGATTTCCAACTGTATAATGAAGGCTAGGGTGGCATACATCAATTTCAGCCACCTCTGGAGCCGACGCGATGTTAGCCTGGCTGTCAAAGATCGGGTATGCAGTGCTTTGGTGCAGGCTGTTTTGCTCTACGCCTGTGAAACCTGGCCTCTCCGAGTGGACTGAGGATGTGCGGCGGCGGCTCTGCGTGTTCGATCATCGCTGTCTCCTCAGGATTGCTTGCGTTCGATGGATGGCATCATCGCGTTAGTAATTCTGAGGTTCAGCGGAGTGTGTGTTTGAACACAGTGGAGATCACCATTCATTGAGTGTCGTCGTCTGGAAACACCGGCTCCGGTGGCTTGGACATGTGCTGGGAATGTCATCCCAGAGGCCTCCGTACAGGTCTCTGATCGCTAGCCAGCCCTGGGACGGGATGGAAAAGGCGGCGGGGTGGTCAGTCCATGACGTGGCGTCGTGGGATGAAGGATGTTTGTGCTAGATTAGCACTGGTTGGTGCGTCACGACTTCCTGGTTATAGTCCGGGAGATAGCTCGAATCGATGGCTCAAAACGTTATCGGATATGACCAAAAATCGTAATCAGTGGAGAACGTGTTGCAATTTCCTTCTTTCTTCCCTTCCCGATGGTAGTTAACGAATACTGTTTGAACTTGTTAAGCATGACTGTTTTCCTTTCAGAGGAAGTTCTTTATCCGTTTTCTACTTATATTTTTACTTTTAATCCATGTCGTTTTATTATTATTGTGTGGCGCATCTTTCTTGGTGCCATATTGTACCAAGTTTTTTTTCTGCGTTTAAATAATATGTCAGAATTAAAGAATCGTCCCATTCTACTGTAGTTGCATGAATGGTACTTACATTTTGTATACGAATGAGATCGATATCGACATCTTTCTGTAAACGTTCAGTATGGCTCACGCACAAATTGAGTTCATATACAAAAGAGACAAATACAGTGTTTTGTCAATTCATGATGTCATGCTAACAAGAAGGCATGATGGCGGGTAGGGAGTTATTGAGTGGGGTATTTTCAGGAAGAAAAAATCATGCGTCGTTGGCAATACACCCGTCCATTTCAGGTCGTGTGTTCTTCTCGCATACAAATGAAATCTCATCAGTACTCTGATGTTTCGTGCTAGAAAAATCTGCACAACCGACACTCTTGATGACGAAATAAGGAAAAATGGAAAACTTTTTGCATGAGAACGGATGTCTAGAAAAAGTTTCCATAAAGAGACCAGATATAGAGAGAAATGCCTGCAAACTGTGCAGAAGAAGCGTATGTATATGTATGACTTAACCATTCAAAGGAAACACCCACTGAATTACTGGCATCGAAACTCCTAAAAGTAATAGCTAAATCATTGTTTGCCACAACGCTATGTTTAAAATTAACCACTCTTTGTATAATTCCAATGCACGTGAAGGATATACTATCAAGTCTGGCCACTTCAGTGTGCATTTATAAATTTAACTTTTTCTGGAGACAGTTGCATAGGTAGAACATGACTCGGAAAGCACACTGTCGTCTTCTTGAGCATTGTCATTTGGGGTTAGAGTCAATGAGAAGTTCCATACTGATGTTTCTAGTGGATACGGAGCACAAGATTGACAAAAATCCGCCCTTTACAATTGTGTAAGTGATGCTGCCTCAATTCCCTAAACTTGTACCCTTTCGATTGCAGCACCCATCGCTTCCCTCCTTACCTAATACTGGATGTCTAACCTCAGTATTATTTAGTGTATTATACCACTTAACACGGGAGATGAAACACAAATCTACAGTTAGAGACAATTAACCTCTTAAAGTCTTGCACTTTCAGTGGCCATATCTCATAGCCATAAAGAAGAAGACTTCTAGGGAACATAGAGAAGACAGAGGTGATGTATGAATGCTTAATCGACAACAGAAAGCACCAATCACCATCGGTAGGAGAAATCTAAAAGAAGTGACTTAATCTACGTAACTGGTTGGGCAATACTATTTCAACTACAGGCGGTACAAATGAGAATATTAAAGCCAGCCAAGATCACCAGAAAAGCCAGACGGACGCGTTCGTTATTGTGACATCAGTGTAGAAATCGACCATGCTAAGCGTAAAAGGAACTGTATTCAGATCTTCAATACTAATGTCTAGTCAGTACCTTTGTTTGATGTGGGGACTTGGCAGTATTCCCAACAAACTGCACACTTTTATCTACACATGCGCAGCATTCGCTCGATAGTAAATATCAGATGACTTTTTCCTAGGGGCTTGGTGGTCTACGAGCTACCTCGTTTTCTAACCAGAAGGTCCTGGGTTCGGTCCCCAGCGATTGGTGCGTAATGATGAAGAGTCACAAACTAGGACGAAACAGCTGGCTGTTCGGTACTCCCTGATAGTTTTCCAATGGTTCTGTAACTGATGTCAGCGCATGATGAAATCCTCCAACCAATCGAACAAAATCTCCCCATTCGCTTCAAGTTTCGCCATTGGATTTCGTTCTTGATATATTCCAATATGTCATGTGTTGGTTTACACAGGGATTTGATTGGTCGAAGGTTTGGTCACGAGTCGATATCAGTTGGATAACCATTAGAAAACCACCAGGGAGTACTGGAAAATTGTTTCATCCTAATTTGAGAATCTTCAGCAATGCACATCTACCAGGGTTCGAGCCCAAGAGCTTCCAGGTGCAAGGCAAGTTGGTAAAGCGTTCTACCGCTGGGACGCGACCCAGTCACCCATGAATCCAAACTTCTGCCAATTCGCCACATATCTTGCACAAACGCCAACCAACATCATAATCGAGTAACTGTCCTACATGGTGTTGTGGACCCCAGTGGTTAGAACTTGAGGTAAATTACTTTATTGAGCTAGTCAGTAGTTAGCGGCAGACTAATTTTGAAGAATTGGTTTACAGAGATTTGATGGGTTACAGGTTTGATCATGAGATGACATCATTTCGAGGAAAATTTAAAATCCTGGGAGTACCAGACAACTGTTTAGTTGTAGTTTGGGATTTTTCAGCAATACTCATCCCCTAAGGTTCGAATCTAGAACCCTCCGGTTAAAAAGCGAGCTCGTACACATTTCAGCCCCTTCGGGACCCGATTCAATGACTTCTTACTGGGATGGTTTAATTGTAAAGCGTTCATTGTCTTCCTTCTAGGTAATATATCATCAGAGCTAACTTCGAAATGAATTGAGCTTTAAGAATTCCTAGTGAATGATGAAATCATCGTCATTCTTGATGTTTTTGACTGTGTGTAGTTGTCTGTGTGTAGATTGTATTATTATGATTGTTCTATTCACCCGTATATTGGTATTGATCCTGTCGTGTTGACCTGTTTCTGACCTTTCGAATACGTGATTTATGTTTGATTGATTAATAAATTTTATGCATATCAATGTGTTGCGACAGAAGATAAGAGAATTGGTAACGAATTTTTTTTGAAGGAAGGCAACAACATATTTATACATTTTTAACCACATTAAAAGTTGGCTAGGTTAGAGGGACAATCAACTGTTCTGATTGGGCTGGCTATGAGACGAAAAGTTGTCCAATAAGATTACTTTATGTTTGACCACGGATTGATATCAGTTAATGAACCACTAAAAACCAGAGAGTACTAGACAGTTGTTTCGTCCTAGTTTGGGATTCTTTAGCAGTACACACTCACCGCCAGGGTTCAAACCCAGGACCTTCCGGTTGCAAGGCAATCCCGTAGATTATTCAGCCACTGGGACTCGACTTCTCAATGGCCAGTCCATCAATTCTAACTTCTACCAATTCGTGATTTTAGCGCGAAAATCATGAGTAAGGAGTGAAGACAAATACTGGTGCCAGTCGTACTAAATTCACAAATTAGCAGGTAGAATTCATGGTCTGGTCATTGAGAAGTCGGGACCCAGTGGCTGAATGGTCTATGAGCTAGCTTGCCATGTAACTGGAAGGTCCTAGGTTCGAACTTTGGCAGTGGGTGCGTACCGTTGAAGAATCCCAGACTAGAATGAAACAGCTGTCCAATACCCCCTGGTTTTTAGTGGTTCTCGAACTGATATTAATCCGTGGTCAAACTCGAAAAGAACAAATCCAATGCTTACAAATCATCTCCTGAAAATTACTTTCTGTCTATAACGTGTACTAGATCCAGATTTGGGGAGTAAAAAGCTCTACCTGCTGCAGCAGCCATTGACTTGGAATGTTGATTTCAATTTTGGCCGCTTTCTATTTATTCTGTATCTGAGTACTCCTTATAAATGTTGTCTGTAGCACACGCTACAAACTTATCTGTTGTTAATTCTAAGCTGAATATTGAATCTCATGACATCTGAAAATTTTCTAGCATTCATCATGATTACTGTGCTTAGGAGTTATGTACTTGGAATTAACAGGTATATTGATATAGATAAAATGGTATTTTCAATCAATCCAACATAAATCACACATTCGAAAGGTCAAATATCAGATCAGTCAACTAGACAGACAATTGATCCGTTGACTGTAGTTGAATACAATAATCATAAGAAAAGACAACTAATCCATACACAGTCAAGGTCAACACTATTATCATTATTATTATTATTATTATTCAAAAGAATCGATATTGAACGAAGAGTACTCTTTTCGATAACCTGCTCTTCATCAGGCTCTACAGTTATATATACACCATAATGAATGAATTAGTGTTATGAACAACATTAATACTGTTTAAATAACATCGAATCCATAATATTGGTAGATTACAAATTCATGAGTTTATAGTCTCTACTGAAGGCCAAGGCAATAGTAGGGACCGGACTTGCTTTTTTTGAACACAGAGCACTGGTTGTTTGAGGCAAATTGCAATAGCCCCTGTTGTTTGGAGAGCATGCGGTGCTTCGATGATTTCGAGAATTCATTAGGCATCCGATAGATTGATAGGGAAGGATTCTTCAATGTTGGGTTTGTGACCGGTTTGCACCAGATGTTCCAATATCGAGCTGTTAATAGTTTTCACTACATCTTTACTTAGCCATGCTGAGAGATGTTCTCGAGCACGAAAAAACAAGTTCCTAGAGCAACGGCCAATATAACTCGCTTCACCACAAGCGCAGTTGAATTGGTAGATAAAATTCGAAGTGGCTAGCTAGTCTAGGTACTTCATCTTTCAGTCGAGGTAGCACCATCGGTCGTGTAAAGAATAAGACGTGTAGTTCGCCAGCATTGAGAGTTCTTTGAGCTGATTTTGTTAATTTCCTCTTAGTTATTTCACTTGGTGTATCACCCTTGAATTGTAGTCGTATATAAAGTGGCTTCTTGTTTATTATTGTTTTCTAGGGTTTCAAATGAAACGTAGGCCTTTAACATTACATCTCCACTTTGTCCTGTTTTTTTGCGGTCCTCTTAAGCTGGACCTCTGATTCCGTATAGTCTCTCATCCGCCGCCCATACCCCTCACAAGATCTCTTCCATATCACCCTTGGACCAAAGCTCCAGTCGTCGTTTCCCATTCTGGTTCCAATTGAGCGATATCCAGGCTAGCATTTTCACTCAACTGTCTCTCCAGTGTGTGTGTGTGTATGTGTGTCCACTCCATTTTCATTTTCTTCCGCATATTTGTCTGACATTGGTTTATTGATTGGTTCGTTGCTTATCCTATCCAACTAGCAGTCTGATTTTTATTATTGCTAGAAGGTGGGTGTTGATAAAAATGTCCAGCCTATTGTAAATGTTTCTCTTGACGTGTGTATATGTGTGTTTCAAGTCTTTAAATCATACAGAAACGTCGATATGAAGATCCGTATGTTGTTCCTTATGCTGAGTACAGGAGATTTTCAAACCGATTACAGATTAATGAACGTCTGTGTTGTCTTTTGGATCATGGCTGGCTTTGACATCCTTATCTTTAGTAATAATAATAGCAATAATAATAGTTTGCATTATTCCAGAGCAGCAGTCATGATATAGTGTGGAATTATCAGAATTTAGTTCAATATTGCATCTAATTTACACAACAATGACAACAAAAGCAAAGGCAAATATATTACAGGGTACAGGTAACCAAGATTGATGATAATACCTCTCCCGTCTTTCAGGATTTCATCATGAACTGATATCGGTTAGAGGATCATTGGAAAATCTAGGAATGCTGGATAGCTGTTTCGTTAGCCTAGTTTTGGATTCTTCATCAGTGCCCACCTACTAATGTTCGAACCGATGTAAGTGCAGGATGAAGTCCTGAAACCAGTCAATCAAATCCGTACAAACCAACACTTGAATATCAATCTGACACTCACTAGTCACTGTCCCTTTTTAGGTAGAAGTCTAGTGGGAAATCGTGACCAGTGGAGTACGGCAGGTCGAGTGTGAGGACAAATATTCGCCACAGATGATGTTGGCCAGTGGTCGCGGTATATCGTGAATTGTCAGAAGTTGGAATTCATTGATTGGCCACTGGATTGGGTCCTAGTGGCTTAATGGTCTCCGAGCTCTCTGGCCTTGTAACCAGAAGGTCCTGAGTTCAAATCCTGGCAGTGAGTGTGTACTGCTGAAGAATCCTAAACTAGGCTGGCGAAACAGCTGTCCAGTACTCCAAGGTTTTCAGATGGCCCGATGCCAGTTCATGATGAATTCCTGTAACCAATCAGTCAAATCACTGTAAACCGACACTTGAAAGTCAAAGATGTACAAAAAGTATAAACTGATAATAAATAATTTTAATAACTAAAATTATAAGATAACTCAAATAGTGCCACCCGTAGATTACAAATATGAGTAGATCAAAGGGTCATTTATTTTTCTAATTACATAGTTGTAAGTTTCATGCTTAACATTACCTCTGTTGGATAGAATGCCTGTCAAATAGAATATCGTTGAGTTTTTGTACTTAATTGTGTGAGAGACCATGTAATCTCTTATAATGACTTTTAGTCTTACCTGGTGACATGCAAGTAATGGAAGAGTTGTATGAACAGAGAGGGTGTGGATAGTTAGACAATATAGATTTAGACCGTTTCTCACATGAGTTCAGATGTCCGTTGACCACAATAATAACAAACTGACTTAGTGGCAAACTACTTGCCTTACTGACAGTCTTTTATATCCTTTGCAATATGACATAATCCTTCTAGAGTAGTCCAGGAAAGACTGTACAGCACATAGGTGAAACATTGTCACCTAGCTATGTAAGTAAGCGAATTAACTTCCTTCAAATTTCTCCCATCACTTGTGATTGCTACTTGTTAATCATTATCGCCAGTGATACACTTAATAGATAATTTTTAAATTGTCTTTCAACATGAATTTCATTCATGTTCCCTCTGTATTCATCATTTAATCGTCTTCATTATTATTTTTTGTTTTATTTTTCCACAGTACCGCATCGAGTAGCTCCTTCAGCGCCAAGAAATTACTAACTAACCAACCAACCAACTAACTAACTAACTCCCTTGTTAGATGAACACAATTCACTATTAAGTAAAAAGAAAAGTTAATTCTTATATTATCGATTTTATAATTCTACTATATCAATTACCCCAAATAACTGGGTGGATCACGCAGGTGCAGCGGGGCGGGACGGGACGGGACGCAGCGTGTTGACGCAAAACAATCGTGATGTGGTGTTATATATATATAATATGAATTATTTCTTCTTGTTTTACACTATCAAATACCCTAATTAACCTTTATTTGATTCTATTTTGTGTGTGTGCGCGCGTAACACAGTTCGTGTTTATTTTGAGTAATCTCTTGTTCTTGCGTGTTTCGGGCTGACAAGCGCACTCTCTCTCTCTCTCTCTCACAGACTCAGACATTTGCATCTTACAAGTGCCTTTTGTCGTTATTAAGTAGTATTCTTTCACCTACAGGAAGGTGAATAATCCTGGAAACTTGCTTGACTGGCATCTCTTGAATGCTGCCATTTTGTTTCTGTACTCCCCGTTTCTCTTGCTTCTGACCATATTCCCGCAAGCCTCCCCCTCCCTCCACCCCTCGAATTTATTTGTTACTCTTGTTTTGATTTTTATGAATTTGAAACAAAATTTTTGCTGTGATCTAGATAACTAACTCAATAACTAAGTGACTAAGCAATTAAATTCTTCACATTTTTCTGTCTTTTTTTATGTGTTTTTCATTCTTCTCAACACACACACACACACTCGCTCACAAATACACAGACACACACACTGATTTCATTTGACTGACGAATTGTTTGTGTGAGAGAAAGAGAGAGCCACGGGATGGTTCGTTTTCTTCTCACTTGAAACTTGTCAACAATGTCAATTTTCTTCTTCTGTTTTTTATACTTTTTTCATATTCTCTGTTTTTGTAAACGAATCTGTCTCACTATTATTATTATTATTATTATTATTATTATTATTATTAATATGATCATACATTTTGAAGTGAAAGGTTTGTTATAATATTGATCGATTTTATAAGAGACAAGTGTAAAGAACTAACTAACTAACCAACCAACTCACTCACTCATTAACAAACTCATCAAACGAATAATTGTCTTGAGGAGAAAGCAGGCGACGAGGTCGACGCTGACGACGCCGAGAAGGAGGAGCAGGCGAAGGAGATGTTATGTGTGTGTGTGTGCTTGTGTGTAAAAGAAGCAATTTTCAGAATGACCAACAAAGAAATATTTATTTATTTCGAATCTTGTCTTTTGTTTTTTCTTCCACTGTTTTTATAGTTTGAGAATTATTAGTTAGCTAGTTAGTTAGTTAGTTTTTTAGTTTGTTACTATTGAGTTGTAGTTAGTTTGTATTCTTCTCATGTCTCTGTGTGTGTACTGTTTCGTTTTTTGTCGTGTTTATAGGGCGTTTTGACAGAGTGGTGGATGATATAGAATGTTTTGATGCGTGAGTAATGATTGTGTGCGAATATTGTAATGGTAGTGTGTATTCTTCTTTCGTATACTTTGAAATAGAGTTCAATAATCAATGAGGAAGGAATGCGCATTTCCTTTTCATGACACAGATTATGTAAACTTCTGAGCTTTTGTTTTCATCATAATGTGTAAGGAAGTGTATATATATTATTGTTCCTTAGGGTTCCTAGTGGAACATAAGGGTTCAACTGCACGTCTCCACTTGCTTCTGTCTTCCTTCTGCTGTACTTTTCACCTGCACCATCCATGTTAGTTAGTCCATACTGTTTCAACTCCTCTTCACACGATCTCCTTCATGTCACCCTTACACCAACGTCCCACTCGCCGCTTCCCTTTCGGGCTCCACTCGAACAATGGCCAGACGCGCGCGCGATGTCACCCAAAGGCCTCCTCAGCGAGTGTCCAATCCATCTCCACTTTCTCCTACATATTTGTTGGTTGGTGACTGGTTCTTGCTTTGTTTGTTAGTGCCCATAGTTTCTTGTTGGTGATTCTTTCCGGCCCGGCCATCTGATCTTCAGTATAAAGCCAGCGAAGACAGTTGTTGGTTGATAAAGGTCTGCAACAGGCTGTTGGAAATATTTTTTGTGACCCGCCCGCCAAGTTTCTGATCCGTATAGAAGAGCTAACTGACTTAACGTTTGTATTGAAAATCCGACTGGATTTTGTTGTTGATGCTGAGTGATGAAGATTTCCAGATTGGTGGTTTCAGGTTGATGAAAAACGTGTTTCTCGCCTTCCCGATTCTAGCTCGATTTGACATCCTCGTCCGTTCATACTGCCTGTAGTCGAGACAATGCTCCCTAGATAAGTGAATGAAGTAACCTCTTTCAGATCCCTCCCGTTGATGGTGATTGGCGCTGGATATTGTTGCTACTGCGGTTGTTGTTGTTGGTTATTTTCATAACCTTCGTCTTGCCTATGTTCACCTGAAGTCCTGTCTTCGCTGGCTGCTTCTTCGACCAGTTTGTCGGTTTTCGCTTGTAAGTCTTCGATTTTGTGTGACATCAAACATAAGTCACCCACGCACGAAATCCAGGTCTTCTAGGTTCTTCACGTCGGTCCAGGATATCCCTGTCTTCTCGTTTCCCACTGTCTGACGCATAATCCAGTCAGTCCACCACAATTAGGAATATCATTGGTGATAATAAACACCCTTGTCTGACTCCTGTGTTTACTCCAAACGCCTCGCTGAGTTTTCCGTTGTGGATCACTTGACATGTGATGTTGTCGTACAGCTGTTGAATAAGGTTGTTGAATATTTGGGGTACGCCATAGTACTCGAGTAGTTTCCAAATTACTTTGCGGTCAACGCTGTCTGTCGAAGGCCTTCTTAGATTCTATAAAGTTGAGGTAGAGGTTTGATTATCATTCCATGCTTTGTTCGATGATGATGCGTAGAGTTGCAATTTGGTCAGAACATGATTTGCCTTTCCTGAATCCAGCTTGTTCTGGTCAGAGTTCTGTTTTCAGTACGTCCTTTATTCTCTCCATGATGATGCAACTCAGGATTTTATTTGGCGTCGACAGCAGCATGATTCCTCGCCAGTTCTTGCAGAGTCCTAAGTCGCCCTTCTTTGGTATTTTTACGAGGTAACCTTTCCTCCAGTCATATATATATATATATATATATCTGTACATTATCCACTATACCGCTTGTGGTTTGACCCCCGGCCGATGCACCCTTATACTTGATTAGGCTGGGCATGAGGTTAACAACTCTACCCCTTGAGAGGAAAACCCCACTCCCACTGAAACTTCAAAGCTTTAGTTTCAGGTCTTGTCTTCGACTCGGAATGCAATGGAAATAGATGAGTGAACTGTCAATAGTGCTTTTTGATATTTACCCCAGTGATTGCTGTATAATACTTGACTGATATCGAGGGCTTAGACAATAAATAGCTTTGTGTAACACTTTGGTGACACGTATTCATAAGATCTGTATTACATCACGATTTTGAATATATACTTTATTCGTGTGGTTTTTAGCGTCTGGAGGTTTACTCAATAGTGTTTTTGGATTGAATTCCAGGAGGAGGTATATTTCACGCTACTGAAATTGAAGTATTATTTATGACTTTGTTTGTTTTCACAAAGTCCAGGTACACAGTTAGTTCACCAGGGAAAAAATTGATGCTTTAAAATTGTGCCAATTATTAAATATAGAGTGGTCTATAACATTTGTCGATTACCGGAATGAATGATGTTGAAAGTCTATTGGTGGGATGACTAACTAACAGTGGAATCCAGAATGCGCATTCCATTCTATTTGAGACTGGTTTGAAACGATGGGTGCGGGGTTCAAGTTTCAGTGGGGATGGGGGGACACACCATTACTCACTGGGAAATTCATATGCATCCGCTAGCTGACGAGTCCCTCAGATAGGACGAAATGCATGTTCTGGATTCCACCCAGTTATTTAAAAAAGTTAATCCTTAGACATTGTTGAAGTGTCTACAGTACTAAGAACCAACTTGTCAACAGAGTCCGAATAATAATCAATGGGAAAATCAAAAATTGAATTAATAACAAATGATGTTGAAAGTTATCTATAGCCTTTGACTTTCAGAAATGTCTATATGGGATTCATTAAACGCTTTATGCAAGCAGTCTCATTGAAACAGTGATAACTAATAAACGTCTATAGTCATCAGGCATCTTTAATACTTAAAAGGGCATTTTTTGATAACGGAAGGTCAGAGAACCGTATGCACTGCAGCCTTGCAAATTCAACATCCGACGGCTAGGCAAACATAGTGATGATACCAGTTATAGAACCACTGCAAAACTTGGGAGTATTGCACAGATGTGTCATCCTAGTCTCTTGGGACTCTTCAGCAGTACCCACCTACTGGGATTACAATCCTAGGGCTTCAGGTTATATATATATATATATATATATATATATATATATATATATATATATATAGCGACCATCGGCCAATGTCATAGGTGAGTGACTATCCTCTTATCCGACTTGGTGGACCCCGTTGGTTACAACTAATGTCAGCTGGTGATCAAGCCTGTAGTCAGTCAAATCCCTGCAAATCGACCCTTAATAATATTGGTTGCATGTTAGGGCACAGTTATTCAGAACAGTTTTCTCGTTTGCCTAGGTTCAAGGGACATTTATTGTGTGTAGGTGTGCGTGTGTGTGGTATTGGTGATGCTGTTTGGTTTCCCAGGCTTCAGTAGATGGGACTAGATTCAAACCTGTGACTTATTGTCTGAAAGTTCAGTGCTATATCAGCGTAGGATAAAGTCACAGATAACCCAGATTGGAGCATTTATCTTTGGCCTTTAATAGACACTTACGTATTGGCATTGTTAATCGATATTTGTAATCTGTGTGCGTCGGTGGTTCAGTGGTATACCACTGGGTTCGACCCCCGCACCGATGAACTTTTACTTCTCTTATCCTGTATTAAACTCAGTAAGGAGAGGAGGTTGAACGTAAGGCTAGCAAACCTACCTAGTAAAAGTAGAACCAATGCTACTGAAACTTCAGAGCCCTAGCTTGAAGCTTTATGTTCCATTGAGAACGCAAAGGAATTGATAAAGTGCTTTTAACCCCTCAAATGTTTGTACCAGAAATATGGTAGGATTGATGTGCTGTAACAATGTTATCCTTAAACTTTCCAGGAGACGATCTACTACCTTTTATAGTGATAATGCAAATATGAGGTGTTTCATATTGAACTGTTATACTGTTTTATGAGATCGTATCTTGGACAATATGTCTATCTCGTTTGATTTCTTCTTGAAAGGGATCATTGAATTCTCATCGTCACAGTCTGTGATTTCCAAAAGAAGTATTTAGGAGTAATACTAGGTTTGATTATGAAGATTTCATGGTCAGCATCCTTGTGAACCTATATCAGCTTGTAAAATCGAGGGGAATTATTCAGAATTACATACACTGACTAATCTGTGCGGGGAGGGGTTCGTCCTAGGTCTGTTATTTTTCAATACCTATGACTATCTGTGCATCTGTGTGTGTGTGTGTGTGTGTAAATTCTCGTCTCAGTATACCACCACCGATGAGTGTCTGTTCTCACATACTGAATTAAGTAGACTTATTTCTGCAATTATTTCCTGGTTGCAGTAGATTGGATAATGAGACAGACAACGGGCTGGGCAATGAGGGAACAGGCATAAAACGCACTCACACAAAAAACTTGGAGGATCTGGACTTCGCCGATGACATGTATATGTCTGATTTCCAACAAACTGGAAGATATGCAAGTGAGAAGCAACAAGTTGGCAGAAAAAGCATCAAAGATAGAACTTCCTTCAGGTGAATATAGATAAAACAGAGGTGATGAAGATTCCTGGCCAACACCAACACAAAAAAACAACAGACAATAATCAGCCTGCATAAATGGGAGGAACCTGAAAGAAACAACCTCCTTTACCTACCTGGGAAGCATCCTTTCAACTACAGGCGGGCGGAACTGACGAGGGTATCAAAGCAAGAATCGGAAAAGCAAGACAAGCTTTCATTACTCTTAAGTCTGTGTGGAGGTCAACAGCACTTAGCATCAAAAATAAGATACGGATCATCAACCCCAGTGTGAATTCAGTCAGTGCTACTATACGGATCAGAGACGTGGCGCGTCATAAAGAGCATCTAAAACAAACTTCAGACCTTCATTAACAGATGTTTTCGCTCAATACTCAAGATCAGATGGCTGGACAGAAAAGATCAGCAACATGGATCTCTGGGAGCGAACCAACCCAGCAGGAACCGATTGTGAAACAA